TGAATAAGAGATGAAAATAATAACTTAGGAGTGGAGGAGGAAAGGGATTGAATCAGTTTAGGCTAAGGAAGTAAGAGGCCACCAGAAAATGGACTATGTTATGCACGACATTCTGAATACAAACCGCAGGGTAGCCACTAAACTAAAAAACAGAACAGAGGCACAAAACATAAATAAGGAAAAAGCTAAAAAACCCAGCATAAGAAATTACGGAAGTCAATGGGTAGGCTAAAACACACAGGACGAGAAACAAAGGAAACACAGGAAAACCAGAAAATGAGCAACAGAATGACAGCATTAAGCCCTCATGCATCAATAATCACCCTCAATGTAAACGGACTGAACTCTCCAATAAAAAGACACAGAGTGGCAAGATGGATTAAAGAACAAGATCCAACAATTTGTTGCCTCCAGGAAACACACCTCAGCTCCAAGGACAAACACAGGCTCAGAGTGAAGGGGTGGAAGACAATACTCCAAGCTAATAGCAAACAAAAGAAAGCAGGTTTCACAATACTTATATCAGACAAAACAGATTTCAAGACAAGGCAGGTAAAGAGAGACATAGAGAGCCAATACATAATGATCAAAGGGACACTTCATCAAGAAGAAATAACGCTTATAAATATCTACGCATCCAACACAGGAGCACCAAAGTTCATAAAGCAACTATTAACAAACCTAAAAGAAGATATCAAAAATAACACAATAATAGTAGGGGACCTCAATACTCCTCTCACATCAATGGACAGATCATCCAGACAGAAAATCAAAAAGGAAACAGTGGAATTAAACGAAAAGCTAAAACAGCTGGACTTAATAGACATATATAGAACACTCCATCCAAAAACAGCAGAATACAAATTCTGCTCAAGTGTGCATGGAACATTCTCAAGGATACACCATATGTTGGGAAACAAGGCAAGCCTCTGCAAATTAAAAAAATTGAAATAATAACAAGCATCTTCTCTGATCATAGTGCTATAAAGCTAGAAATTAATTACAAGAAAAAAGCTGAGAAAGGCACAAGGATGTGGAGACTAAACAATATGCTATTGAACAAGCAATGGATCATTGAAGAAATTAAAGAAGAAATCAAACAATACCTGGAGACAAATTAAAATGATAACATGCCATACCAACTCATATGGGATGCAGCAAAAGCTGTATTAAGAGGGAAATTCACAACTAGAAGCACCTGCAACTAAGATATACAACTATGTATGGGGCGGGGGTTGGGGAGATAAAGCTGAAAAAAAAAAAGAGGGAAATTCATCACAATTCAGGCACATCTTAACAAACAAGAAAAATCCCAAATCAGCAATCTCAAATTACACCAAACTGAATTAGAGAAAGAAGAACAAACAAAGCCCAAAGTCAGCAGAAGGAGAGAAATAATAAAAATCAGAGCAGAAATAAATGCTATTGAAACAAAAAAGGCAGTAGAAAGGATGAATGAAACAAAGACCTGGTTCTTTGAGAAGATAAATAAAATTGACAAACCCTTAGCCAGACTTACAAAGAAAAAAAGAGAGAAAGCTCAAATAAACAAAATCAGAAATGAAAGAGGAGAAATAACAGCAGACTCCACAGAAATACAATGGATTATAAGAGAATACTATGAAAACTATCTGCTAACAAAATGGATAACCTAGAGGAAATGGATAAATTCTTGGACTCCTACAATCTCCCAAAGCTGAGTCAAGAAGAAGCAGACAATTTGAACAGACCAATCACAAGGAAAGAGACTGAAACAGCCATCAAAAGCATCCCAAAGAATAAAACCCCAGGACCAGATGGCTTTCCTGGGGAATTCTACCAAACTTTCAGAGAGGATTTAATACCTATCCTTTTCAAGCTATTCCAAAAAATTAGGGAGGATAGAACACTTCCTAACACATTCTACGAGGCCAAGATCATGCTGATACAAAAACCTGATAAGGACAGCATGAAAAAGGAGAACTACAGGCCAATATTGCTGATGAATATAGATGCAAAAATTCTCAACAAAATTTTGGCAATCCGAATTCAGCAATTCATCAAAAAGATCATACATCATGATCAAGTGGGATTCACACCAGGGACACAGGGATGGTTCAACATCCGCCAATCAATCAACGTGATACACCACATCAACAAACTAAGGAATAAAAACCACATGATCATCTCAATAGATGCAGAGAAAGCATTTGACAAGATCCAACAGCCATTTATGATAAAAACTCTGAACAAAATGGGGATAGAAGGGAACTACCTGAAGATAATAAAGGCCATATACGACAAACCCATAGCCAACATCATACTCAATGGGCAAAAAGTGAGCGCCATCCCCCTGAAAACAGGAACGAGACAAGGATGCCCTCTATCACCACTCTTATTTAACATAGTACTGGAGGTTTTGGCCAGAGCAATTAGGCAAGAGAAAGGAATAAAAGGAATCCAAATAGGGAGGGAAGAAGTGAAACTCTCGCTGTTTGCAGATGACATGATCCTATATATAGAACACCCCAAAGAATCCATTGGAAAACCTTTAGAAATAATCAACAACTACAGCAAAGTTGCAGAGTATAAGATCAGTTTACATAAATCAGTAGCATTTCTATACTCTAATAAGGAATTAACAGAAAAAGAACTCAAGAACACAATACCATTCACGATCGCAACAAAAAAAATAAAATACCTCGGGGTAAATTTAACTAAGGAAGTGAAGGACCTATATAATGAAAATTACCAGGCCTTTCTGAGAGAATTAGATGACAACATAAGGAGATGGAAAGACATTCCATGTCCATGGATTGGAAGAATAAACATAGTTAAAATGTCCATCATACCTAAAGCAATCTACAGATTCAACGCAATCCCAATCAGAATCCCAATGACATTCTTTACAGAAATTGAACAAAGAATCCTAAAATTCATATGGGGCAACAAAAGACCCCAAATTGCTAAAGCAATCCTGAGAAAAAAGAACAAAGCTGGAGGCATCACAATCCCTGACTTCAAAACACACTACAAAGGTACAGTCATCAAAACAGCATGGTACTGGTACAAAAACAGGTGCACAGATCAATGGAACAGAATTGAAAGCCCAGAATAAAACCACACATCTATGGACAGCTAATCTTCGACAAAGGAGCTGAGGGCATACAATGGAGAAAAGAAAGTCTTTTCAACAAATGGTGCTGGGAAAACTGGAAGGCCACATGTAAAAGAATGAAAATTGACCATTCTTTTTCACCATTCACCAAAATAAACTCAAAATGGATCAAAGACCTAAAGGTAAGACCTGAAACCATAAGGCTTCTAGAAGAAAATGTAGGCAGCACACTCTTTCACATCAGTATTAAAAGGAACTTTTCGAGCTCCATGCCTTCTCAGACAAGGGAAACAATAGAAAGAATAAATAAATGGGACTTCATCAGACTAAAGAGCTTCTTCAAGGCAAAGGAAAACAGGATTGAAACAAAAAAACAACCCACTAACTGGGAAAAAATATTTGCAAGTAATACATCCGGTAAAGGGTTAATTTCCATAATATATAAAGAACCCACACAACTCAGCAACAAAAAATCAAACAACCTGATCAAAAAATGGGCAGGAGACATGAACAGACATTTCTCCGAAGAAGATATACGGATGGCCAATAGGCACATGAAAAGATGCTCGTCATCGCTGATCATCAGGGAAATGCAAATCAAAACTACACTAAGATATCACCTTACACCCATTAGAATGACAAAAATAACCAAAACAAAAAGTAGCAAATGTTGGAGAGGTTGTGGATAAATGATCCCTCATACACTGCTGGTGGGAATGCAAACTGGTGCAGCCACTATGGAAAACAGTATGGCGCTTCCTCAAAAAATTAAAAATAGAACTACCATATGATCCAGCCATTCCACTACTGGGTATCTATCCAGAGAGCTTCAAGTCAGCAATCCCTAAAGTCCCATGCACCCCAGTGTTCACTGCAGCACTATTCACAACCCAAGTGCCCATCAACTGATGACTGGATAAAGAAGATATGGCATATATACACAAGGGAATACTACTCAGCCGTAAAAAAGAACAAAATCGTCCCATTTGCAACAACATGGATGGACCTTGAGGGAATTATGTTAAGTGAAGTAAGCCAGATAGAGAAGGACAATCTCTGTATAATTCCACTCATATGAGGAATTTAAAAATGTAGAGAAAGAGAACAGATTAGTGGCTACCGGGGGAAAGGTAGGGTGGGGGGTGGGCACAAAGGGTGAAGGGGTGCACCTACAACACAACTGACAGAGAATAACGTACAACTGAAATTTCACAAGATTGTAACGTGTCATTAACTCAATAAAAATTAAAGAAAAAAAAAACCAAAACTCTTAGTGGAAAACATAGGGGTAAATTTGCATGACCTCAGATTTGGCAATGGTTTCTTAGATGTGAAACCAGAAGCACAAGCAATAAAAGAAAGAACAGATAAATCATGCTTCATCAGAACAGAAAACTTCTATGCTTCAATGACACTATCAAGAAAGTAAATATACAACCTATAAAACGGGAGGAAATATTTGTAAATCATATATCTGACAAGGAACTTGTATCTAGCATGTATAAAACACTCTCACAACTCAGTAATAAAAATAAATAACCCGATTTAAAAATTGGCAAAGGATCTAAACGGACATTTCTCCAAATAAGATATTCAAATGCACAATAAGCACATTAAAAATGCTCAACATACATAGTCACTAGGGGAATGCAAATCAAAAACACAATGAGATTCGTTTTCACATCCACTCTGATGGCTAGAATAAAAAGTCAGATAATAAGAATTGTTGGTGAGAATGTGGAGAAATCAGAACCCTCCTACACTGCTGGCATGAATGTAGATGGTGCAGCCACTTGGAAGGCAGTCTGGCAGTTCCTCAGTTAAATAGAGTCACCATAAGACCTAGAAATTCTACTCCTACACATCTATCCATGAGAATGAAAACATATGTCCACGCAAAAACTTGTACACAAATGTTTATTAGCAGTATCATGCATAATCACCAAAAGGTGGAAGCAACCTGAATGTCCATCAGTGATGACTAGATAAGCAAAATGTGGTTTATCTGTACAATGGAGTATTATTTGACCATAAAAAGGAGCAAAGTACTGATACATGGTATGACATGGTTGAACCTTGAAAAAATTATGCTAAAGAAAGAAACTAGTCACAAAATACCATGTGTTCTATGATTCCATTTATATGAAATATCCGGAATAGGTAAATATACACAGAAAGTAGACTGGTGGTTGCTTAGGGATAATGGGGGTGGGGGATGGGGCATGATAAAAGGTATAGGGTTTCTTTTCAATATGATGAAAATGTTCTAAAAGTGACTGTACTAAAAGTGATTGAATTAATTGTACACTTTAAACAGGTGAACTGCATGTTATGCAAATTACATCTCAGTAAAGATGTTATTATTGTTTTTTAAAGGGCAACATGAGGCATCCTCATGGTGTGGAAAATGTTCTGTATCTTAAAACAAAAACAGAAACAATAACCTAGGAGTGGAATACCTGGGTCCTACAGTAAGTGTGTGTTTAACTGTACGAGGAGCTGTCAAACTCTTTATCAAAGTGACTATACTATTTTGCCTTCGTGCTAGCAATGTATGAAAGTTCCAGTTGTTCCACATTCTCATCCATAGTCAGTATTGTACGTTTTTTAAAATTTAATGCAATTCTGATAGGTATGTATTGTTATGTCATTATGGTTTTACGTTGCATGTTCTGAATGATTTATGATGTTGAGCATCTTTTCATGAGCTTTTTCATTTGCCATCACATGTCTTTGGTAAAGCTTAAAATAGTTAAAGGCATCACAAAAGAACAGCAATTAAATTTCACAACAATTAGAAACTTAAGTCAACACACAAATACAATTTAAAGATGAAGAACAATCTGGAGAAAACATTTGCCACGTGTGTGAGAGGACAGCGACACAGATCCAGCGTGGGAAGAGCTGACGGATTTTGCTTTTTCTCTCGAGTGTGCCTGTGTGCCTGCTGCATGTATACACAAGCTCCCGCTGCACCGACCTGATTAGTGAAGGGCTCTTGACTCCTCACAGTGATCTGAAAGCCGAAGTGGGGAGATGACCAAGGTAATCAGGTCAGAACTGTGAGACAAGACCCAGGGAGTCCCAGCCCAGGAAAGCACAGGCCCCCGGTGTTCTGCTTGTGAACAAGTTCAGCAAGTAGAGGTAGTGGGAAGGTGCGGGACACCAGTGGACAGGGGTAGGGAGGTCAGCAGGCATGGCAGGGGTAGGGGTGAGGGGAAAATGGGCAGTGGCACAGGGGCCACTTGCAGGGGCATAAGGGAGAGCAGGAAGGGGTGGAGCACGTTTTTGGCCATTATTTCTTCAAATACTTTTTTCTGTCACCTGCTTCTCTCACCTCTCCTTTGAGGACTTCCATCTTGTATATTAGGGCTACTCAACATTGATCCATGGCTTACTAATGCTATTTTCTTTTCTTTCCTCTTTTAATTTTTTCTGTTTTGGAGCATTTTTATCAGTATGCCTTCAAATTCACTATCTTTTCTTCTGCAATATCTAATCTGCCATTTCTCCTGTCCCATGTACTGTTTCATCTCCATGTTATAGTTTTCATCTCTTTAAGTTTGATTGTGACTTTCTAGTTATGGTCTTCTATGTTTCCACTTAACTTTTTGAACATAAGTTCAAAAAGGAATTGTTACAATCATCATTATAAAGAAGTGTTATAATAACCATTTTAACGCCTTTCTCTGCTAATTCTAATATCTGTGTGAGTTCAGGTCGGTTCTGATGCGTCAGATTGATTACATTCCTCATTTGGGGTTGCGTTCCTGCTTGTGTGTGCGCCTGGTCATCTTTGTTTGGATGCCAGACATTGTGAACTTTACCTTGATGGATGTTGCATACTTTTGTATTCTCATAAATCCTCTTGAACGTTGCTTTGCAATGTAATTAATTACTTGGAAACAGTTTGATCCTTTGGCATCTGGCTTTTATTTTTTGTTAGATGGATCTGGAGCAGTGCTCTAATTATTCTCTAATACGGAGGCAAGACTTCCTGAGTACTCTGTCATAAGCCTGTGAGCTATGAGTTTTTCCAGTCTGGTTGGTAGGAACAGGCATTACTCCCAGCCCTGAGTGACAGCTGGTAATTTTCACCCATATCCTTTCAGATGGTTCTTTGCCTGGCCTCACCGTTTCCTCAGGTGTATGCACCGATGCGTCCTCACTCGCTCTGCTGAGCTCCAGGGTGTCTCCGTGGAGCTTCCTCCTTTCTGGTATTCTGTCCCGTGAACTCCAGCTGCCTTGGTCTCCCTGGGCTCTCAGCTTCCTCAGCTCAAGTAGTCCACTGGGCTCTGCTTCAGCTTCCTCTCCCTTTCCTGTAGCCTGGAAACTCTCTCCAGGTAGTGAGCTGGGGCAACTGTGGGGCTCATTTTGCTTGTTTTCCATCTCCCAGGGATCACTGTCCTTTGTTTTCAGACATCCAGTGTCTTAAGACCATTGTTTCACGTATTTTGACTGGTTCCTTTGGTTGTTTCAGGCAGGAGGGTCAATTTCGTTCCTGTTACTCCATTTTGGTAAGAAGCAGAAGTCCCCGACCACTCATTCTGCTTCTCATATCTCTCCTCTCTAAATAGTAGTGTAAAAACACTGATTTGTCAAAGTTTCTTCAAGGGAATGTTTGCTAAGTGCCAGGACTTTGCCTATGTGATCCCTGTTAATCCTCACAACCATGCAGGTTTTCTTAACCCCATCTCCATTTGACAGCTGAAAAGCGAGGCCCAGATTTTTGCTGGTTTGGACCCCAGACAGACTTGTCAGTCCTGAGGCCGTGTGCATCCTATGGCTCCACAGGTATCAATGCAATGCTCCAGAATTGCCAGGGGAGCTGCCTGATCTGCACACCATCTCTGGCTTCTCATTTTTTAAAGAAAAGCTCACACTTGCAGCCTGGGTTTTAAGACACTCATGCCCACGTGCACTCTGCATTGGCTTTGTCAGGCATGTGTGTGGGCCTGGGTCCCATCCAGCCACTTGACATCTGAGTGAGACAAGCATTGGGACGGTCACTAGGCAGGGAAGCAGCCACAGAGGGGATGTCAGTGGCCAGTCACCCAGGCCTTCTGATTCCAAGTCCAGGCCTCCTTCCTCAGACTTAGGATCATACAAATCCGGCAGGGAGGTGACAATGAGGTCCAGGACCCAGAGGTGAAGGTACTCAGCCCTCACCATGTTTGAAGAATCTGTGATTCTGGCACTCTCCACTCCTGTGGGTCAGCATCTGGACCACTTTCTAAGAAAATCCCAGCTTCCAGATAATTCTTCAGAAAATCCGAGTCGGTACCTACTGACTTCCCTCCAGGAAATTGGCAAGTCAGCTGCAGCCCTTGGTGCACAGCAGGATCAGGGACTTGGGGCACAGTGCAGCCAGAACTAAGGGCCTCGATGTCTGGCTTGGGAGAAGATATGTGCAAGGTGGCCTCCCCACCGGCCCCGGGTCAGCCTGAGATGCTGCACGACCAGGGCGTAGCCACCCTGCTGCAAAACGAGTATCTGCGTGAAGGGCTGGGGGCCAAGATCCCTCTGGCTCTGATGTTCTGCCACTGCCCACTTTAGGACAAGGGTCCACAGATGGCAGGAAGGTGGAAGTCAGAAGGAAAAGGCAAGGGAAGCCAGGATGATTTGGTATCCAATGTGTGTTCATTTATTTTATACTTACAAAAGAAATCGCCCACCCTCTGCCCCATCCCTCAAAAAACAGTCTCTTTTTACAAACATTTAAAAATTAAAACCAAATGAAGATAGACAAGTTAATTTCAGTACAATTATTTTTCAACGTAGCTGTCATAATTAGAGTTTAAATTTCCTACAAGTGACCAATGTCCAAGTGACTTATAGGGAAATCCTGATTATTGGCTGAAAGGAAAATTCCATATTACAAGTTAGCAAATTCTAGTACAAAAATAGTCCGTGTGTGGGAATAGCCTTTCCTTTTACATAGGTCTCGGGTCAGTCTACTGACTGCATAATACCCTAACGTTTCAGGGTTCTCGTTCACAAATGGCTCATTCGTCATAGCTGAAGCAGCACAGCGCCTGCAGCGGCAGAGGCTAGTGTCCACCTCGGGACCGTGCTGGAGATGGCAGGCCTGGGAGCGCCTCACCGAGCCCAGGGCAGCAGAGCAGAGCCCCAGCCCCAGCTCTGCACAGGGGTCCTGGAGGGAGGGATGAGTTGTGGGCAGAGCTGCTCCCTTCCAATGGAGCAACAGGCCCAGGACAGAGGGGAAGTCCGCCAAGGGAGCTGGGCCGACGCTGGTGCAGGACAGCCCATCTCCTGCCAGTGTTTCCCCGTCCTACTGTAGCCTGATGAGGTGTGAGGCGGCCCTGTGTGTCATCAGCGGTGAGAGTGTGGCCTTGCCCTTGCGTCAGCCAGGGCTGGCCTGGGCAGGCTACTTGTCCCTCAGAATGTCGAGCTGTTCCTGACACTCGGTGAAGAGGCGCTGGAAGCGGAGGTTCTGCCCGATGACTGGCAGCAACTCCTTCAGCAGCTCCCTCTTCCGCAGACCCTGTGGAAACAGGAGAAATAGCTGAGTGTGTCAGTGAGGAGACTAGACTGTGGGGGGCTTCCCTGGCCTGGCAGAGACCCTTGTGTCTGCCCATCTGACCCCCAGGAACACCCTAGAGAGACCACAGATGGATGAGAACAATTTCTCTGCATACTCGGAAGCACTGGGAGAGCTGAAAGGCTGTCTGCAGCATATGGGGTGGAGCGACAGGGCACAGCGGAAGGACACAGTGCAAAGATATGGCAGAGAAAACCAGGGTAGGTTCTGTTCTTCCATGTCCCCTAAGTCTGCTGGCATAGTCACCGCTGGCCTTTCCGTGCACTGGTCAATGGCCACAGTAGCCTGGCCTTCCAGAGCAGGATGGAAGTAGGATATCAGGGCAGAGGGACAGGTGGATGGCATCAAGAAGGGGCTTCTCCCTCACACACAGATGCTCCCCAGGGGCCTGGTCAAGCCCAGGGGCGAGGAGGTGCCTCAGGAGCAGTGACTGCTCTTGGCTTTACAGTCCTGGGGGCTGTGCCCTTGGCTCTACCCCACACCTCCTCCACGACTGGGTGCACTAGCTTCATGGTCGGCCTGGGCCCTTCTGCAAGATATACAGCAAGGCAGGGTCTCCACTACACAGACCCCCGAGAAGCACAGCTGTTGCAAAGGGAAAGCACCTAACCAACAACACTGACCACTGGAAGAGAAGGCCCAAGTTGTTAAAATAAGTATGGCACCATGACGAGGAATTACAGAAAAGAACCAAGTGCAGATATTACGCTTGAGCAAGACAGTGGTTGAAGGAGACGGGATTAGCAGAATGGACACTGCTGAAAACCAAGTCGGGGAGGGGGAGTCAGCTTGAGCCAGCAGCCCAGGATCAAGCAGGGAGGCACGCAGAGGGGAAACTGCAATAGGAGAAACAGTATAGAAAAAGCAAAAGTAGATGGAGGACAGGAGATGGGCCCAACATCTACATAATGGGTCCCGAAGAACTGAGGAAATATTTAAAGAAATAATATAGGTGGATTTCACATAATTAAGGAAAAAAATGGCTTTTGGTTGAAAGGCTCCATTGAGTGCTGATCAAGTAAGATATGGAAAAGCTGATATTCAGACACATTAGAATGAAATATACAGAATTTTCAGATATCAAAGAAAGAAAAAATCTGAAAATTTCTAAAGAACAAGAGCATATGACCTACAAAGGAAGAGATAGCAAGATTCACAATAAAATAGTATTTTTAATATATTAGAAAAAAACCTTATCACCTACTATTTTTACCCAAACAGTTACCATATAAAAGGGTGAAATAAAATATATTCTTAGGTTTCTAAGACCTCAGAAGATTTGCTGCAGGAAAGATGCACCCTGAAAATGTTTTGGAGGAAATACTCAAAGTAAGAAGAGATAAATCTAGGCGATGCTAAAAGAGGTATGGAAAGCAATGAGATCAACTCTTTCGCTAGAGTTTATGTTCGTCTTAAAAAAGCAAGAAAACAAAAAATGTAAATAGTTCAAACTTGGTGATGAAAAAACAGCTTGTCAGATTGGATAAAACAAAAGCCATCCACATGATATTGGCAAGAAACAGAAACATGGATATAGAAAGGGCAAAAGTTAAAGATGGAGAAAGACACGTTAGTAAATCACAAAATAAAGAAAGCTAATATTTTACAATGATCAGACAAAGTAGACTTGGAGACAATGGGGGAAGACAGAATCAAAAGAGGGACAAAACCACCCTCACAGGAAGATTTCAATACACATTTAATGAGGGATGGGTCAGAAAGGCAAAAATCTGCAGATTCAGGTAACTCAAAATGAACATTTAGTAAACAGGACCTAACGGACAGACACAGAGTGAGCTACGCACAACTAGAGAACACATATTCTTCTTTGGTGCACATGCAAATATGAAAAATTGCTCTAAAAGCAAACCTCAACAAAATGACAGGTATCATATAGATTACAGGTCTGGGATGGGCCAAAGCCAGCCTGTTGTCTATCTGTGTAAGGAATGTTATTGAAATGCAGCCACGCCTGTGCGTTTGTTTATATATCATGCTACATCGGCAGAGCTGAGTAGCTGCAACAGAGATCATATGGGTTTGCAAAGCCTGAAATGTTTACTCTCTGGTCCTGATGGAAAAAATCTGACAACCCTGAGGTGGGGCAGGGCCTGCCCAGTCCCTGATGCAGATAATGTTCTCTAACTAAAACTCAACTGAGTAAAACTCACGGATCAATTAGTAAATCTAGTAATTAATTAACTTAATGTTAGTTAATTGAAATTAAAAATGACTTACAAGTAAATGGTAATAAAAAACCCAAATACTGCAAAACTAGTGGGATGCAGCAAACGTGGGGCTTATACAGGGACATTTACAAACATAGAACAGGGTATATTAGAGAACATGAACAAACGACAAACAATGACCCAAGAGTCCAACACAGGAAAAAAAAGAAAAAGACATCAGAAAACACATTTTTAAAAAGCAGAAGGAAAATGACAACAAAGAATTGAAATTGATGAAACTGAAAACATTCAACAGAACAGATGAATAAAGACAAAAGTCATTTCTCTGAAAAGGCTAAAAAGACAAACTTCTTGCAAGATTAATCAAAGAAAAGGGAGAAAGCTCAAAGAAATAATATTAGAAATAAAAAAAAGACATAACTACATATATAGAAGAGATAAGACATGAGTACTATCAACAACTTTATCCAAACAAATCTGAACATTTAAAGAAAATGTACTAACTCTTAGAAAAATATAATTTATCTAAACTGACTCAAAAGAAATAGAAAATAGGAGTTAAATCTTACCACAAAGAAAAGATCAGGTATACTAGATTTTTAAACTGAGGTCTAAGAAACTTCCAAAGAACATTTTTCCAATGTTATATAAACTCAGAGAACGGAAAAGGAGGAACTACTGCCAAACACATTCTGTGGGGCAAATATAACCCCGATTCTAAAACCGGATAAGGACAGGCATGAGAATGAAAACTCCCAGACCAATTTCACCCACAAAATCAGATGTACAAATTATTAGCAAGCAATTCTAACAGTGAATAAATAAAAGAAAGTAATGACAGAGTTGGGTTTATCCAGCAAAGCAAGAATTTAATATTAGAAAATGAATAATTTACTATATTAATAGGTTTCAATATTACTAAAAACATGAAAATTGGAAAATAGGAAATAAAATAATTACTTGAGATGACTTGATTGCTTACTCCACATGGAAAACACAAAACTATTCACAAATTAATAAAATATAATAGAAATGCTGTGGAAAGATGGCTGGTGACTAACATATCAAAGTCAAATGCATTATATGCAACACCAATGAACAATGAGAAAACATAAATAAAACAATATATCATTTAGAATAGCTACAATTATGATGTCTAAGAATAAATCTAATAAAAGATGTGCATGGTCGTTGTGCTGAAAATTATAAAATGCTCTGGAAAGGCATTAAAGAAAATCTAACTGAATGGAGAGTGCTGATGGGAATAGTGACATAGCTTGGATATCAGAATGGAGGCTGCAAAAGGTAGTGGTGGACACTGGCGTGTGAGAGCTGCAGGGGAACTGCACACCCATGGGTGCCTAGGGGCAAGAGATTATGGGTAGAATACAAGAGAACATCTAAGGTTGTGGATAGAAGCAGAAGTGAGACTTTCAGGGAAATTAAAACATTTAAAAGTAGCCATGCATATGAGGAAATGGACAAAAAGCACATGCAAAAGCCTGGGAAAGACGTATCCCCAGAAAAGGACTGAGAGGACCAAGAGCCTTCAGGACGGGCTGAGTTGGAGCCAGTTTGCAAAGACTGAAAGAAGGTTGCTTTTTTCAAATGCCTAGGATTCGACAAAAGATCACATGGCATACAAAGAAACAGGGAAACATGGCCCACTCAAAGGAAAAAAATAAATTTCCAGAAATTGACCCTAAAGAAATACTAGCTTGGAACTTACATGACAAAGACTTTAAAAGAACTGTCTTAAATATGGGGAAAGAGAACACAGACAACTACATGAAATCAGGAAAACAATATGTGAACAACATGAGAATATTAACAAAGAGATCAAAATTATCAAAAAGAACCAAACTGAGATTCTGGAGCTCAAAATCAATAACTAATAGAAAAATTCACTAGAGGGGTTCAACAGGAAACTCCAACGGTTTACAAAAGAAATAATCAGTGAACTTGAAGTCAGGTTATTTGAAATTATTGAGTCTGAAGAGCAATTAGAAAATAGAATGAAGAAAAGTGAAAACAGCCTAAGGGACTAACAGGACACAATCAAGCAGACCAACATAAGCATTATGCAAGTCCCAAAAGGATAAGAAGGAGAGAAAGGGGAAGATAGCTTATTTGGAAAAATAACGGCTGAAAACTTCCCAAGTTTGAGGAAAGATGGACCTACAAATCCAAGCAGCTCAACAAATACTCCAGGTAGGAAAAACCCAAAGGAACCCATACTGTGAGACATTATAATCAAACTGTGGAAAGTCAAACACAAAGAGAGAATCTTGAAAGTAGGAAAGTGACCCACTAAGTAAAAGGGATCTTTCAATAAGATAATGAGTGGATTTCTCAGCAGAAACATTGAAGCCCAGAAGGCAGGAGAATGACATATTTAAAGAGCTGAAAGAAAAACTGACATCTGAGAATACTATATCCAGTAAAACTATCCTTCAAAAACAAGGGAGAAATTAAGACAGTCTCAGATAAATAACAACTGATGGAGTTCATTACTATTTAGATCAGCCCTTCAAGAAATGCCAACAGCAGTCCTTCAAGTTTAAATGAAAGGACAATACACAAAATAAAATATAAAGTTCTCTGGTAAAGGTAAATATATGAACAAAGATAAAAACCCATTTTATATAATATATGTATGTATAATATATATATGTAATTTTGTTTGGTAATTCCATTTTTTATTCTTTTACAGAATTTAAAAGACAAAAGCATAAGAAATCATAAATCCATGTTAATGGTTACACAATACATAAAGATATAATTTGTGATTTCAATAACATAAAGTGGGGGAGAAGACCTGTAAAGGAGTATGCAATTTTTTTGGTATGCAGTTAAAATTAAATTGCTATTAGTTTAAAATAGATTGTTATAACTTTAGAATGTTTTTGTTATCTCCATGGTTACCAGAAAGAAAATATCTGTAGAATATACACAAAAGAAAATGAGGGAATCAAAACATGACACTAAAAAAATCAACTAGACACAAAGGAAGATGGTAAGGAAGGAAATGAGGGAGGAAAAAAGCTATAAAACATCCAGAAAATAAATAACAAAATGGCAATATTAAATCTTTACCTGTTAGCAATTACTTTAAATGTAACTGGATTAAACTCCCCAAAGTGGATAAGAAAAGCAGGATCCAACTATATGCTGCCTACAGGGAGCTCACTTTAGATCTAAGGACACACAGGTTGAAAGTGGAAGGATAGAAAATGATATCCCTTGTAAACAGTAACCAAAATAGAGAAGGGTTGGTTAAGTTAACATCAGACAAAATAGATTTTACGTCAAAAACTGTTACAAGAGACAAAGAAGGACACTGTACAATGATAAAAGGATCAATTCACCAAGAAGATGCAGCAGTTATAAACATATACGCACTAAACATCAGAGCCCCTAAATATATGAAGCACCCATTGTCTGAATTGAAAGGAGGAACAAACAGTTCCACAATAATTGTTGGAGACTTCAATATCCCATTCTAATAATGGACAGAACAACCAGACAGAAGATCAACAAGGAAAAAAAGGACTTGAAAAACAATACAGACTTACTGGGCCTAACAGACATCTAGAGAACACTCCACTGAATGACAGAAGAATACACATTCTTCTCAAGTGCACATGGAACATTCTCCAGGACAGATCATATGTTAGGCTACAAAACAAGTCTCGATAAGTTTTAAAAGATTGAAATCATAAAAATATCTTTTCTAATCTCAATGGAATGAAACTAGAAATCAAAAGTAGAAGGAAAACTGAAAAATTCACAAGCATGTGAAAATCAAACAACACACTCTTAAATAACCAGTGATTTAAAGAAATCACAAAGGAAATTAGAAACTATCTTGAGACAAATGAAAATGAAAACATAACACACCAAAAATTATGAGATGCGGGAAAAGCACTGGTTAGAGTGAAATTTATAGTGTTAAGAATCTACAAAGAAGAAAGATCTCAAACCAATAACACAACCTTCCATCTTATGAAACTTGAAAAATAAAAGCAAACTAAATCCAAAGCAAGCAGAAGCAAGAATATCATACATATTAGAGTGAAAATAAATAAAGTGGAGAATAGAAATCAGTAGAGAAAATAATGAAACAAAAAATGAATTCTTTGAAAAGGTCATCAAAATTGACAAACTTTTAGCTAGAGGGACTAAGAAAAAAAGAGAGAAGACTCAAACAATGACAATCAGAAATGAAATAGGGACATTACAACTGATGGCCACAACAATAAAAAGGATAATAAGAGAATACTATGAACAATCCTACATCAACAAATTGGATAACCTAGATAAAATGAACAAATTCCTAGAAACACACAATCTATCAAGACTGAATCATGAATAGAAAATCTGAACAGACCTATAATTAGCAAGCAGATTGAATCAGTAGTCATAAACCTCTCTATAAGGAAAGCCTAGGACCGACCAGATGGCTTTACTGGTGAATTTTGCCATACATTTAAAGAAGAATTAACAATATTCCACATACTTTTTCAAAAAACTGAAGAGGAGTCAACTCTTCCAAATACATTCTATGAGGTCAGCATTACCCTGATATCAAAGCCAGACAAAGACGCTACAAGAAAAGAAAACTACAGACCAATATCCCTGTGAAAACTGATGCAAAAGTCCTGAACTAGCAAAGAGAATTCAACAGCAAATTGAAAGGATTATACAGTATGACCAAGTGAGATTTCCTGGAATGCAAGGATGATTCAATAAACTAAAATCAATCGATTTCCCTCGTATGTGGAACATCACCAAACTTATGGACTAAGAGAACAAATTAGTGGTTACTGGGGAAGGTGGGTGGAGGGTGGGCACAAGGGGTGAAGGGGCATACTTGGTGGGCATATATGGTATATGACAAACAATAATGTACAACTGAAATTTCGCTACGTTATAAGCTATTACAACCACAATAAAAAAACAAACGAAAAAACTAAAATCAATGTAATACACCACATTAATAGAATGAAAGGAAAAAAATCCCAGAAGATCATCTCAATTGATGCACAAAAAGCATTTGACAAAATTCAACACCCTTCATTATAAAAACACTCAACAAAATAGTAATAGAAAAAGCTATCTCAATATGATATGATAAATATAATATATAATAAAGGCCATCTATGACAAGCCCACAGCTAATATCATACTCAAGGTTAAAAGATGGAAAGTGTTTGCTCTAAGGTTAGGAACAAGGCAAGGATGCCCACTTTCACCACTTCTATTCAACATAGTACTGGAAATGCTAGCCAGAGCACTGAGGCAAGAAAAACAAATAAAAGGCATCTAAATTGGAAAGGAAGAAGTAAATTTATCTCTGTTTGCAGACAACATGATCTTACATCAAACCCTAAAGATTCCACAAAAAACCTGTCAGAACTAATAAGTGAACTGAGCAAATTTGCAGAATATGAAATCAGCACACAAAAACTGGTTGCATTTTTATACACTAACAAGAAACAATCTGAAAAGGAAATTAAGAAAACAATTCCATTTACAATAGCCTCCAAAAGAATAAAATCCTTAAGAATAAACTTAACCAAGAATGTGAAAGACTAGTACATTGAAAACTATAAAACATTACTGAAAGAAATTAAGAAGACACAAATAAATGGAAAAACATCCCATGTTCATGGATTGGAAGAGTTAATATTGTTCAGATGTCAATAACACCCAAAGTGATCTATAGATTTAATGTGCTATCAAAATCCTAATGGTATTTTTCACAGAAATAGCAAAATCCATCCTAAAATTCATTTGGAATCTCAAGAGACCCTGAATAGCCAGAATAATCCTGAAAAATAAGATAAAAGTAGGAGGTCTCATACTTCTTGACCTCAAATCTTATTTCAAAATTATTATACCTGTAAATTTTTGAACTATGTGACTATATTACCATTCAAAACAAATTTAAAATAAATTTTAAAATTATAAAACTGAAAACCTCTATTAAAAAAAATGAAAGGGAATGAAGTAAATTGCTATAAAAAATGCAAAATATTCTGCCTTCCTGTGCCACCAGGGGCAAGCTGCAAGACGATCTGCCCTCTGGCCTGAAGGCTGGTGTCAATACCAACAGCTACCAAGTACCACCTCCCACCCGGGGCTCTCAGTAATGGATGATACTCCCCACTGTTGCAGGCAGAAGCCTGGGACATAGCTCATCACCACCTTTCTGGCCAGAGTCAAGGTCCACAGCGAAGACCTTGACAGAGGGAGGCTTCCCAAGAGCAGGGTCTGCCTGAGGAGACAGTGGCCAGCACAGAGTTCAGGTACCTGAAGGATGGTTACTTAGTGCCCCAACCCTCTGCTTCTTGTCTCTCTCCTGTGCACACTGTGATTCTTGAGGGAAACAAGCCTCGATCTTTGGGATCTCCTGAGGCACAGTGGCAGCCCATATCAGAGTAATTTTCCCAATATATAAAGAATTCCTACAAACCAATGAGAAAAACAAATGACAATAAAATATTTCAGCAGACTTCAAAAAAGGGATATACAAGTGGCTCTTGAACATATGAAATGATGCCTTCCTAATAAGCCTCCTGGGAGGGCTGCTGAGTCAGCATTGCTAGTGGAAGTTCACCCTCCACCCACAGCTCCATTTTCCAGCCATCCTGAGGACCAGTTCCATTTGAATGACCAATTCTCATCACAAAAGTGTTCACAAAGAAACTCAACAAGAGAACAGAGGGCTCATACTCAGCTCACCTCCTCTGCCCCAATATCTAAATGAAGAGACAGTGAAAAGGTTAAAAAAAAGAAGGAATAAATTCAGAATAGTGCTGAGACCAGGAAGGGATGTGGCAGACTGCCGGAGCTGCCTATGTCCACACCCACACCAAGACTTCTTCTCCTACATACTCTTTACTGCTCGCTTTGCCAGCTTCCCTTGCAACAGGGGTGCCCAAGTGATTTGCTGGTTGCCTGTAAGGCACGGACTGGTTTCTGGGAAAGCTTTTCTTTTTCTGGTAAGAGAGGTGGATGTTGCTGGTACTGGCTCGCTCCTATCTTCCTTCCTTGAACTTGGATATGACAGCTACCTTGTGATCACGAGGGAAAGGCCAGGAGAATCACCGAGATACAGGCTATCACGTACCTCCAGAAGACTTATTTGGAGGAGAGAAAAAAAACTATTTCAGCCACCATTAGATGGGGTATCAATTACCTGCAGCTAAAAGCATTTGTCATGATTTGAGCAGATCAGCTATTTCAGGCAGTTGACAGAAGGTGGAAAGCAGGTGGGACCATACTGATGGTGCCCCTGGGAAGGGAGCCACAGAGTGCTCCTGGGCAAATCCCCAGTGACATGTCCTGCTTAGAGCTGGCAAAAACAACCAGCAGAAAGAAGGGGGAAAGGAGAGCACATGGTCATTAACTGGTGACCTGTCTGTGCCCCCTTCCCCCTGCAGCACATTGGCCTGGAGCGCTTACTTTCAGGCTGCGACAGAGAACTACTGTGTAGAGCTCTGGCTGACCTCTCAGGCTGAGGTTCCCAGAGTGACAGCTTGGTCACAGAGTAAGGCCCCACAACCTGTCCAGTGGGAGAGGATGTCTGGGCACGTGCCTACCTGTCTCCCACTCAAGCCGACAGTCTATCAGGCTGCCCTGGAGGTGAGGTGTGCGGGGGGAAATAGCTCTACTTCGCAGGTAATCCAGAACCACCTCTCCCGTTGAAGACAGCAGACAAAGCTGGACAAATAGAAACAGACCTCAGAGAGCTAACGTGCTAGTGATGAAGGACTGAGCCAGGGTGGGGGGAAGGTAGAAATCCAGAGATAGATGGCTTTGCCTTGGGAACATTTATTGATGAGGAGGCTGAGCAGAGCTTCTGCCAAACTTGAGGGCCTAGGGCACATGAAAAGTGGGGTCCCTGGTAAATCACCCCTCCTTTGTGCTGACACCCCAAAGGGATGCACCCTAGAATAAAGGTAAACTGGCAATAAACCAGCTCCTGCACCAACTAGTGTGCAGCTTTGAGTCGCCAGGTAGCCCAGAAAAACCTTGATGCCTGAACTGCCTAAGGGGATCCTGCAGAGCTGGTGCCTCAAGAGCTGGCAGCCGCAAGTAAAAGTGCTCTCTGATCTTGAACTACTTCTACAAACAGTTGTTTTAGTATTATTTCCAGCAGACAGGCAAAAATAACCAGGCACATAAGGAGATAAGACAATATGAATGAAAACCAGCAGAAATATTTATAGGAAATAGAAGCAGATACACAAGGGCACCCAATACTAGAACTATCAGACATACATCTTTAAAATAAAGTAACGAAGCTTCCTATGCTCAAGCAGGTAAAAGACTAAATTGAAAATCTGGAGGAGAATTGAAACTATGTTTCAATTTCTAAAAAGAGAAGCCATTACATTTCCCTGATGATGGGAAAAATGGAAGGGAAGGTACAATCAAAAGGAACACAGGACAATCCACAGAATGAAAGAAAGACAAAGACTTAGAGCTTTGCAAAACTTCAAAACACCAAGAGAGGATTCCAAAAGAACTTATAAGGCAATGGAAATCAGATTTGCCACAGAGTTTTTAGCAACAATAGTGGATGTTAAAAGTCTGTGGCATTTTTATTCTTTCAAAGCTCTAAGGGAAATTGATTTTGAACCTAGGATTCTAGTAGCCAATCAAATTAGGATTTATTGCAACAAAATAAAAATGGAATGAAAAATAGAGGAAGCCAAGTACACACCAAGGCCTTCAGAGCCTTGTGAGGACTGACCCTCCAGTCTTTACTCCTCCCATCACCACTCTGCTCAGCTGCTCCTTTTACACTGCAAGCCCTCCCACCTCAGGGCCTTTGCACTTGCTGTTCCTGCTGCATGATGTTCTTCCCTCAAATATCTGCAGGGCTTCACCCCTCATCTTTTCTGGTCTTGGCTCAGTCAAGCCTTCCTCAATCATCCTGCCAGTACTCTGTATCCTCCTGTCCTCTTTAGTTTTGTTCACAGTGCCCACCCCCACCCAACACATTATCTGTACTTGCTCATTTGTTTTGAATCTGCCTCTCTCCACGAGAATGTAGATCCACAGGGCAGGGCCCAGTGGGCCTTGCTCCTGCTGCCCGCCCTGTACCTAGACGACGCCTGGCTAGAGAAGGTACTCCACCAGTATTTGCAGCTAACTCTGGGATCCACAACTTCTCCCATCCCTCACCAACCTGCTCCTTTCTCCTTTCCCAACTCAGTCAATGCACTAGCGGCAACCTGTGCAAGCCAAAAAATCTGGAGGTGACCACATGCTCATTCTTCTCTTTTCCTCATCTACTCCATATCCCACTACCCACATACCAAGTCTTGCCTCTAAAATACATCTTGGATCTGTCTCCTTTCCCTTCTCCATGGCCATCACACTGATCCAAGTCACCTTATCTTTTGCTGGAACCGCCGCAAAAAGCAAGCCCTGACTGGCTTTCTGTCATTTCATGTCACCTCTGCTCAAACTCCTGCAAGAGTTCCTGCTGCTGAGACTAAAACTCCAGCTCCTCACAAGGTCTCCACAATCTACTTCCTGCTCATTTCTCTTGCCTCATTGGACACCGCCCTCTCCTCTACTCACTATGTTCCAGCCGCAACAGCCTCGATGTACCAAGCCCTCTGCATTTACTATCACCTCTACCAGGAAACTCTCCCCAGGTCTCTGCAGAGCTGGCTCAATCTTACCCTTGCGTTCATCCAAAAAGTGCTCTTCCGAGGTCTTCCCTGGACACTCTTTCCCAGGCATGCTTGTCTTGTTGCTCTGCTTATTTCCTCCTTAGCATAACGCACAATCTAAAACTATCTTGTTGACTGAATTGCTTACTTGCTTATGTCTGCCTCCCTACCAGACTGTGAGCTCCACGAAGGCAGGAAAGGATCTTTCATCTTCACTATTGAACAAACCCACAGGCCCGGGCAGGCAGCTTTCCTCAGCACAGGCGCATAGCTGAGTGCTCCCTAGGCCTGAAGCCGAGGGCCCAGCTCCTGTCAGGTCGTGCAGTGCTGGCATCTCACCATCTCACTGATGCTGGGACCCAAGGTGGTGTGCTGGAGGAGTCTAATGAGGAAGAATTTCAAAGCACTTTGGCTTATTTTTTAAATCTCCACCTCCACTTTTCATGAGAGAACTCTTGCGGCAAGAATGAAAGCAGCACCTACCACTACTGTTGACTCCCACTGGCTTCCAGTGGAGTAGTGAACCGGACCCAGTAAGTCCTTGCATATTTCTCGAAGTCGGTATTCAAACCCTAATTACAGAAAAAAACAACAAAACAAAACAAAACAAAACAGAAATAGGAACACATTACAAAAAGAAATAAAAAATCAAGAATATGCTAAGTTGTTGTATATCAAAGCAGAATGAACAAATCCTTATGCTATTGCCTATTAAGGGCAAAATGCCTATTGCCTGTCTCTTGGTTTCAGGGCACTGAGACCTATAATGACAGATTCTCACTCACTCATTTGCTCCCTTGACGACATATGTAGCAGCCCCTCTGGGTGCTGGACCCCAGGAAAAATGAGATGTGGTTGGCTCTGGGATAAACTCCCCAAGGTGTTGGGAAAACATGGGAAATTGTGGAATGAGGGGACTGGACTAGTCAGATTTGCTTGAGAAGATGCCTTGGCAGCTGGTGTGAGAGGAGATCAGCAGGGTCAGGAAAGAGCCTTCAGGAGGTAAGAGATGGCAAGGGTATGAATTTAGACTGAGGAAGCGGTGACTGAGCAGAGACAAGAGAAGCAAGTGCAGGCCTGTCAACTCAAGGGTTATGGGCACAGCCAGGTGGAATGCCAGAAATGCTGCGGGCAGAATCTGGGGGGGTCAGCCAGCACTGAGGACAGCTGAAGCCATAAGCAATGGATGAAATCACCCAAAGATGAGGGTAGAACAAGAGGATGAAGTTGGCATTTGAGGAGTTTTAGAAATGAGTGGGGTCTCCCTTTAATTAAACCTTGAGTCCTCCTTTTATGGTTGAGGAAGCAAGAGATGGAGAGAGGAGGTGACTTGTGTATGGACACTGGAACAGATGTGTGGAAGATGGAGAATGAGAAGCAAGGGTTGGAAGGATCCCATGAATGGGTGCAGGCCCAAGGAGACAGTGGCTTTATGCAGGGCATCAGGGTGAGTTCTGATCAACACCCAGGATGAAGCAAACCAAAGAGAAGCCAGAGGACGGGTTTCCCCCAGAGAGTGGGGGGTGAGGCCCAGATGTGAGTGGAGCACCCTGGCAAAGAAGTGAGGGCCTGGGAATATTCAATTTATAAAAGTTGGTGACCATACATGCTGGTGACCACATAGATTGGGTGGGAAGAGTAAACATCAAACTGCCTACTGGAGTCAGCTGGGGAGTGGGAGGGGCTTTGAGTCTGTCAGCCATGTTTGCTGTCATCAGAGGTGTATATATATATATAGACAATTACATCACCAGAGGCAACATGACATGCGAGTTCTGGGAGATACATTTGTAGGCGTTTAGTGTGTTCTTTTCTTGTCTTTTTTATACTTAATTTTTTTCTCTACATCATAAATAAAATGGGGAGAGTGATGTCAAAAGCAAAGCAAGAAGGCTAAGAGGCTGCTCTGTAACCAGCCCTGGGGCTGTGTGGTGACACAGGCAGAGCTTTGAGAGGGGCAGTCCCCAGGCCGCAGCCCCAGAGGCCAAGCTCAAGCAGGAGGAAGGCTGCATGACCTCACACTCGCCTAGCAGAGGGATGAGAGGCTGTTGGAGGTCACCCCACAAACACAACGGCCACCTCTTCCAACACACCTTGCTTTCTGCTGACCAACAGGGGGTGGGGGCGCATCCGGGGGAGGGGGCATAGGTTGCTGAGAGCTCTTGCAGGAAAAGCTGGGCTGGAGGGTCATGGGGAGGCGCCGGACAGCAGGCCAGCCCTTCTAGGGCAGGAGGGGCTGAGAGGAGGAAGAGAAATGCAGGCCCACTGGATGCTGCCAGAAGACACCCTCCCCCAAGGTGACTGGCTCACTGACCACTGATGCTCCAAGGGTATGAAGGGCAGCAGGAGTCTGAGCACCGCATCTGCATCTTCGGAGTATTACTGTCTTTCCATGCATCCTCTGCCCCCACTCCCTCCCGCTGCTAATCTTCCTGGCCCTCAGGCCTACTCCATTTAAGTCCTCGAGCATTTCATGGGGCTGGGCATCTGCTGGGCTGCCCTGATCACAGCTCAGGCTGGGAGATGGGAGGCTGAGGGCCCACCTTGCTGACAGGGGAGCAGGAGGCTAGGGCCTCTGGGGATGACCACGGGAGACTGGGAGGAAGGACAGTGCAGGGAGCTTTAAGCCGCTGCATCTCTGTCCTGATTCACAGGCTTTCAGGAGGGTCATGTTGGGACGGGGATTGAGTTGGGCCCGGGAGGACAGACAGGCCCCCAGAAACCTTACCTTCGTTCACGAGGTACCGTGCGTAAAGGAGGAGCCAATGGCGGTATTCATGGCTGGACTGTAGCGTGAGCGCCGCCGCGACCTGACTCTCCAGGTAGGCCAGGGTGGTTTCCTGCTGCACCACGTGAGGCACGGAGAAGAGCCGGGCCGCCTGCCTTCCTGAACTGCAGAGACCAGCAGAGCACACATCATGAGGCAGTGGGCACTGTGTGGGGCAGGAGGCTGCCACCATGCACCCCAGGGCTCCAGTGAGGAGCCAGCAGGGTGGCAGGTGTCAGACTCCATGCTGGCTCACCCATCCCCATGTCCCAGCCAGCGGCCTCCTGGCCCTCTGGCACCCCATGTGGATCTGACCACTCTGTACCTGACATCTAGGTCCCTCAGGTAACAGGCCAGTGGTCCATTCCCCCCATTCAAAGAACTGCCCAACATGGATGTCCATGATCTGTAGCACCTTAGATCACCATCTAGGCCCTGAAGTGATAGAGCTTGCGTCCCAGCACCCTGAGATATTACCCAACGTGGGCGCACCGCACAGCTCAGGGCACCCCCAGCCTGCCTGTGCTGAGCAGCAGGTGGGCAGAGGGCACAGGCAGTCAGAGTTGGCCTGGGTGGGACTGTGCCTACATGACCTGGCCACCTCCCCCGGCACTCGGGTCACCTACGTGGTGGCACGACCCTGGACTATGGCTAAGGGTCCCGAGCACAGCATGGCGTCCTGGGGAGGCAGGCTGCTCCTGAAGTCCGCACACTGGGCCAGGGAGTCCTGCTTGTCAGAAACCAGGTTCCTGGGGAGGCAAAGGCAAGAGCAGAGCTCAGAAAAACCAGGAGGTCCACCACACGAGGCTGGTGGCAAGGTTACCAAGGAGCAAGTGCCACGTGACCCACTGCCAGAACACCAGCAGAGGCTGAGTGTCACTGCATGCTTAGCATATGGCGCCTCCCAGACAGGTTTCATAACAAAGGAACACGGATGACAGTGAAGGTCACCGACAAAGCTCTTGCCCTGAACACTTCAGCCCTGTGGTCTTGGTTCCTGGGGACAGGGGGCCTGTGTGTGAAGCATACCAGGGATGCCCACCTGCCCAGGGGCCCACATGGCCCCACCCTTGGGAGCTGTGAGGAACGCCAGGGCTCTAGCCTTCCTGTGCTTCCACAGCATCCCAGGCATTCAGCTCTTCACCTTCTCTGGACCCTTCACACCTTTGTGAAGAAAACATTCTTCACACACTTTTAAAATAGCTGGGTGCCTTTGTAAATGTGTCCAAAATACAAAGGGTCAACATTTCCCTTCTTAAATAACTGGCTTGTTTCCATTATTACAGTAATCACACATAAAACACAAAATTTTGTAATTTGGAAGAGTAGGGAGTGCGGTGTTCTGGGGTTGTTTTTCTTTTTTTTTAAACTCAAGAAAGAGAGCTCAGCGTGAGGATAAACTGATACCCGACAACTCTTAACAGAAAAAGGCTGGAAGGTAGCTAGCTTAGGTCTGCAAGACCAAAGGTGCAGACAAAAGAAAAGAACTCAGAATGGCTGGTACACAATGCACATGCTTCATATGTCTGGGTTAAGACCTCTGACATAAAGACATTTTATAAATACAGAACAGGGCTCCAAATTCCAAAATGGACGGAGGAAACGTACAGACTATCACACTTGGTGAGTGATGGTGCAATCTTACTAATTCACCAAGTCAGTGAGAAGTGCTGTTTGGTTCCTCCTAAGCTACAAAAATTGACGAGCGCTGCTGGCAAGGCTCCTGTGAAGGCAACTCACCTATGCTGATGACAGCTCAGGAGGCCAGGGTGGAAATATATAGTGACAACCATAAAAATTTTCAAATGCCTATTCCAAACAAAGTAATCCCAGAGAACAGTGTGGAAGAAGGAAAGTACCTCTGTGCATGGGCTCTGAGCACAGAGAGGCTGTGGGCCAGTGGCTGCCCACAGGGACAGTAGGTTCTGCACTGGCAGGTTTGAGTTCTGCCTCCTCCAGCAGACAAAGCCCAGCCTCCACTCTGGGTGCAACTCCCAGGAGAAGCAGGCCAGAACTGGGAGCCCTTGCTCGCTGATCTGGGCTCCAACTCAGATGGACACTCTCCCTTGGGGCAGGGCTGGGGGATGGCTTGCTTACCAAGTAGAAAGTGACGGATTAAAGCAGTATGCCTTCCCATCAGACAGGTTCATCACTGGGATTCCATGCTGTGTCAGCAAGATCTGTGACACTGTCATATCACTGCCTAGGGAGACACCACAAAAATGGGTTCTGGGTGTGTTCTGATCAACAAGTGCATGCATGTACACCAAAGGAGAAGCCTGACCCACGGTTCGCATTGTCTCAGGAACAGGCACCTTAACGCTGCCTCAGCAACCAGGGAGTCATTGCTCTGCTCTGTGCATGCTATTTTCACTGCCACCCACCAGGTTCTTCGTCACCTTTCAAGGACCCATTTAAATGTGCCCCGGGAGAGGGTGTATCCCCCTGCAATGTGACTGCACCCCCCAACACAATGACTACCCCGGTCTGGCCCAGAGCCTGACTCTCTGTCTAGACAGAGTGGGGCCCTTCCCATCAGAGCTGGGACTTGAGCTACCTTGTCCTGCTCCCCACCAGACAACCAGGGACGGCCCAGGCCTGGGGTTACCTGCCAAGATGGAGTGTAGAGACTCTTCTTTCACAACAACCACCTGTCTGTGAACGTCCCTAGGAGGGAGACGGGGAATAGCTTACTCACCAGCCAGGGTAAATGCAACAGAACATGTCTCGGTGCTCAGACCCCTGCTCCATAGTCCCTGGTGCACTCCCAGTCCTGGCCTCCTATGAGAGGGGCTCTGGGCTGCAAGTGGCATCCACTCCCCATGTGCTGCTCCATTCCCTCCACAGTCCACAGCAGAGGGCCTAGGCAATAGAGCCATGGGGCTTGCCACCAATGCTACACCGACTCTGGGAGAAGCGTGACCATGCTCTGGCAGCTGAGATCCCATTTCAGAAGAACCCACATTAGGAGCCTGGCACATGCAATTAGGCATTGTGATTTGTTATGTGGTTTGCTCCTGTAAGGATGACAGCAGGGGTAGGGAGCTTGCCCCACTTCCACTTCCACATCCTCTCTCCCCACACATGGGGCGGCCAGCACAAGCAATGTGCAACTGCTCAGGGTCTCCTCAGGTGTTAAGACCCCAGGCAAGCAGACCCCAAGGACATGTCTGCTGGGTGGCCTCCTCCACTGCTTTCCCTGTCCCTGAAGGGAGGAGGACCAACACAGCCCCATCCTACCCTGGTTGGAGCCCGCCCAACCCCAGGCCTGCCTCTCACCAGACAGACAGTGTGGCTGCAGCAGTGAGCGCCATGACGTAGGAGCCCGTGCAGTGCAAAGTGGAGATCGGGGACGGCAGGAGGATGGGAGGGAGGAGGCGGCGACCACAGGTGGAGAACACTGACAGCATCCTCTTTTCACAGGCGACACACACCACATCACTGAGAAGGCACAGGGGGAAAAGGTGTCATGGGGGTCAGGAGCTGTGGCAGAGGTAGCAGCCCCAAGGTGCAGCTTCCCTGTGCCTGATGTGGCCTTCTTCTGAGCAGGGGCAGCAGAGGGATGGGTGAAGACTGGCTCAGGGGGTGGAAACAGGGCTGACGGACCCAGAGACCTCTCATTAGAAGACTATGTTCTCCTCCCCGCCACGCTCAAGCTTTTCTGAGCTCATGCTAATGCTGTCTCAGGGGGCTAGGTGCTTTGGAGGACCACCACATCTGACAGTGACCCAGGAAGCACGCCTCACTTGTCAGAGGAGGCCACACAATACCCACTTGACAGTCTCCTGGATATGACTAGCCAAGCTAGCCCTGAGAAGGTCTCTGCTGAGACAGGCCGTAAGAAGTGTGGGAATGACAGAGTGTATCTCCACAGGGGACACCAGCTGTGCCCTTGAAGGCCTTTATGGTTAGGGTGAGAGAGGCCTGTCACTCCCTGAGCAAGGAATGCTTCATGGGCAAGTGTTTGGGTGCTGTCAAACATCTCCACTCTGAGTGGCCACCAGACCCCTCAGGCGGGCCCACAGCAGGCTGACTTTCCTGTGAGGGCCCTGGTGAGGCCCCAGCCACAGGCCTAGGATGAGACTAGAGTCTCAGATCCTGGGCCCAGCAAACGACCTGGAGCCCCACTCCACGTCTCTTCTGTTCTGCTCAGCTGGCGCCAGCAGTCTGCATGAGCAGCAGGCTCGCAGCAGGGTCAGCTAAGGAGGCAGCTCTGCCAAGTGCCTCTCCAAACCAGTCATTGTTCCTGGCTGCTGGAAAGGGAGAGGCAGTGAGGTCTCTCTGTTTATAAAGGCTTACTGGAGCAGGGCCAGCAGCAGGGGTTCTCTGTAGCTGAATTCTGTCTGCTCATCTCTGATGGTCAGAGCTTTCCTGAAGCCAGCCCACTGCGGCACTGCGGACCAGGTCTGCTCACTGAGCCTGGGTGGTCCTCAGCCAGCCTCTCTAGCAGCTGCCATGTCATCACGTGGGAGGCTGTGCTGACATCCCTCTGCCCCCAGCTGGGGTGCATCACCTGCCTTGGGACCAGGGGCAGAGAGGACATGGTGGCACCTAGCACTCGGGCCTCTTTGCACTTCATAGGTCCCTGGGATTGGGAGCCCAGTCCACTTATTTTGAGGGGGAACAAGAGGGCAGAACGGAATGGACGTTCCTTCTAGGCCCAACACCATGAACTCTCTCAGGGCCCATGGGAACCCTGACCTAAGACAGAAGGCCAAGTGTTTGCAGACACTTGTGAAAGCATTTTACATATAACCTCATGATAGATGATTAAGGGTCTAATTAAATCACGTATCTAAGCTGATTGTCTTTGTAAAACCTCCTAAGAGTATTGAACACGTGGTCCTGACTGCGGGCCCTAAGTCTCAGCAGGCACCTGAGGAAGACGCTGGTCCGGCCACAGCCCCAAAGCCCATGGAAGACACTGGGTGACTAACCACCGATTTAAGGTCTTCCCTCAAAGTACAGAATCTCAAAAGGGCTCAGGACTTTGGGACAGTGAGAAATCCACAACCTCCTTGGATGAAAATCTGGGGTCCAGAGAAAGAACCAGCCCAAATCAGAGAGCCAGGCAGAGCTTAGCCTGGAACCTGAGACTTCAGAAATCCGGCCAGACAAGGGAATCGGAACACCTGAATGGAAATCCTGGCCTGGGTGACCCTCTAGGACTCAGTTTCCCTACCTATAATGGGGGATAATGATGTCAACTTCACTGGGCGTTGCAGGGACTGAGAGGACAGATGCACGTGCCCAGCCCAGAGCAAGGCCCAGCGTAGGCCTCTGTGGGCGCTGGCACATGCGGGGCAGTGCATCCTTCCCTCAGTCAGGCCACTTCCCAGTGCCACAGAGAGTAGCACAGTACTTGCTTTACATTAAAAGCCAGCTTGGGCGAAGACCCTCACCCTTACCAGCTGCCGGCAGCAGTGAGGATCCGGCTCGTGAGCACCGTCTCCCACTCCTTCCCTTCCCGGTTACACTTCAAGCGGCTCAGCTTCACACCCCCCACGGCCGTCACTTCATTCTCCACCTCAATGTACATGGAGGGGTCAGAGCTCACCTGGATGAAGAGAAGCAAACACAATGTCTCTTCAGGCGATAGCAGGCCCACTCAGACTTGGGCTATGGGACGGGTGAGATGCTCAACAGGCCTCATGGCCTGGGCTCTGAGGCAGGGGAGGACACAGAGAGGCACACAAAGCTGGCTGGCTAGCTGGAGGGTGGCGGGGGTGGTAACAAGGCAGGACAGGAGGGCCAGAGGTCTGGATGTGTGGTCCCCAGGGTAGGGAGAGTGCTGGGAGGTGGCTTCTGCCTCATCATCAATGTAGCAGAGCAGATAATCAGTGTCAGAGCTAAAGACCCCAAAGCCTCCTAATTCCACCACTTCGTCTCACAAGGGAGAACACAGAGAAGGCAAGTCACCTGCCCAAAAGCACACTGCAAACAAGGACCACAGCCAGCTGAGGACAGAGCTGGGAGTGAGATGTGGGTCTCCTGCCACCCAGTTGAAGGCTCTTCAAAGATCGCAGTGTGCGGCAATAATAGAGCCTGTGCCAGTGCCTGGAGGAAAAGTCTAGAAAACCCCAAGGTCCTCTCTAGTTCCTCCAGTAGTGAGCCTCAGTCTGCTCATCTGAGACTAACCTCATGGGAGCGTCCCCAGAAGAGCACGCACAGAAGCGCCTAGTGCAGTGTCTGGCTCACATGGGTGCAGCTTGAGCTTCCAGGGAGCTGATTCCCAGATATTCCGTATGGAAAACCAATCAGAATGGTTGAACAGTTTGTACTTGTGTGGTTACACAAGTGGGTGAGCTGGGCGGAGGGCCAGCTGTGGCTGAGAGCCTGGCCCCCCTTCGTGGGCCCCTAGAAACCAAGAACAGCCCCAAGCAGCACTCAGCAGTGAAGCCCCCAGGGAGTGCTTGGAGGAGTCTGGGAGGAGGGTTTGCGTGCCCTGCCTCTGCTCACATCAGCTACAAGAACAAACTATGTGGTCCCTACGTTTAGGCTCAGGAGGACCTGTGGCGGGAAGGGCTGACACCTGCTCTCCAGCACCACATGAGGACCAGCCTGGGCTGAGGCAGTGCGTGGCCAGCGAGAAGTGACCTGCATGTGGGGTCCTAGAAAGTTTCCTAAGGATGTGCACCTGAACTGAGGTACAAAGTATGTGAGGCGATGGCGTGTGCAAAGGCCTGGACTGAGTGACTAGAGGGCCTCTGGGAATAAAGGATTATTTGCTCTAGAACTGTGACTCGAATAAGCACACAGTTACAAGCTTCCACTCCAAGAATTCAAACAGCCTGGATAATGACTCCATGCCTGGCCCTGGACAGGGCCAGTGGGCTGGTTGGGAGATAGACAACTACCTCACTGTCCAGTGGGCACCAAGTATGAGGCTGTCCAGGGCTGAGTATGGAGCTCAAAGAGGCTTCTAGGAGAAGGAGCTGGGAATCCAGAAGATGGTAGCAGGGACTGTGAGGTGTGGAGATGGGGGGAGTGAGGGGGTCCCCGGGGAAGAGGATGGCAATCTTGCAAATAAGACTGGGTGGTTGGGGGCCGGCCCCGTGGCTGAAAGGTTAAGTTCACATGCTCAGCTTTGGCGGCCCAGGGTTTCACCGGTTCAAATCCTGGGCAGGGACATGGCACCGCTCATCAGGCCATGCTGAGGCGGCGTCCCACATGCCACAACTAGAAGGACCCACAACTAAAAATATACAATGATCTACCAGGGGGCTTTTGGGGGAAAAAGGAAAAAACATAAAATCTTTAAAGACTGGGTGGTTGCCCTGATAAGCTACAACTTCCTTCAGAAGGTGACGAAGAGCCAGTGGAAAGCAGCCTTAAGTCTGTGACAATTCAGGGTTTACACTGGGGAGGGATAGGTGGGAGCCTGCTCACCTGGAGGGTGAATGCTCTCTGGGGGCCCGGCATGGGCAGCTTCAGTGCAGGCGCTGGTACAGACAAACACATGGTGTCCTTCTCTGCAGTCAGGGCAGCTGGGGACTGCAAGAGCAGAAATGTCCCTGAGCTTCGCCCCAGCTCTGTAGGGCAGTGTCAGGTAAAGTTGTGTCACGTAGAGGTGAAGCTGGGCCTGTTCCCCGGGCAGAAGGCTACAGTAATTCCCTGCTTTACAGACAAGGTAGCCAAGGCCATGGAGTTGCTCAAGGACTCTGGGTGGATTGAGGGCAGGTCTGAAGGGCAGTGCGTGTCTAAGCCAGCTGTTCCCACACTGAGGATGTCCACCACAGCATGCAAGGCCTCCCTTCTCCCATTTGGGCACACACAGGCTCCAGCACTGAGCTCACGAGCTGGGCTGCGGGAGGCAGCATGGATGTGCTGGCCTCACCTGGACAGACAGAGACACAGGCATGAGCCGGGAGTCCTTCCGAGGCCGCCCTTTCTTCTTCTTCTCCACCGTTTCCACCTCGAGCTCCAGTTTTCGCTTGGACAGCGAGGAGGGCTTGGTCACAGGGACCTTCTCATCACTGTCACTGCTGCTCTCCAGGAGGTCCCGGGGCCTCAGCTCTTTCACAAGGTTCTGTTCCTTCAACCTGCATGAACACAGACACCCATGGCTTTTTCCATATGACTATTAATTTTATGGTAATCCATACTCATCCTAAAAAGTTGATAAATAATAAAGTAGGAGTGGACTCATGGTTTCTGCTCTAACACGCAAACGTGTGGAAGCTGTCATTCTCATCTTAAAGATAAGAGGAAAGCTGAAAACCTGAACTCCACAGCTCTTTTTAATTTTTTTTAAAGATTGGCAACATTTGTTAGCTCAGGTGCTAATCTTCTTTTTTCTTTTCCTGCTTTCTCTCCCTAAATTCCCCCAGTACACAGTTGTATATTTTAATTGTAGGTCCTTCTAATTGTGGCATGTGGGACGCCGCCTCAGCATGGCCTGACAAGCGGTGCCATGTCCGCACCCAGGATCCCAATTGGCAAAACCCTGGGCCACCGAAGCGGAATGTGCGAACTTAACCACTCAGCCACGGAGCCGGCCCCTCCACAGTTCTTGTTAGATCCCTCAGAGAAGTAGGTTGAGAACGGGAGAGACAGGCCAGACAAAACCACAGCTCAGCTGGAGCAGAAGCCCCTGGAGCCCTAACCAGCAGGAAGACTTAAAGGGAAGATAACTGATCCATTACTGGACGCTGACTGTGGGCTGGCCTGTGAGTTAAAACTCTTGGGGGCCCAGTGGTAGGAGGGCACCCACATTTTTGTTAGTTTTACCTCCAGAAGCTTCACCAGGTTCTCATGGGTGAAGAGTACTCCCCCTATGCTTGGGCTGGAGGAGGAGAAAATTAACTATTTTGAAACATACCTAGAGTTCTGTTCTCCTTAACAAAAGACTGTCCTTAAGGGAAACTACTTTACTGGAGCCTTATGGGACCTGGGGAAGGGGCAATTAACCAACTCCAGCCTAGTTTTACATACACATACACTTCTCCCCAATATCTTACCACCCAATCAACAGGGCTCCAGTATAATAATAGTAGATTATAACTAAGAGAGACGCAGGATAGACTCTATTTGTCAAAGAGTTTCTACGGAAACTCAAAGACAACAAGGACACAAAAATGAGGACACTGGAGGAAGTTGAAGCCTCTGACACCTACACTACAGGAAACAGTAAACACAACTTAACTCCTGCCCAGATATACAAAACCTCATACTAAAGCTCTTTTTACCTCAGTTCCTGATACTCAGTACATTATGGCTAGTTTTCAGCAAAAAATTACAAGGCATGATAGAGGCAAAACAAAGACAAAAAACAAAATGAAACACAGTCTATAGCTATACTCAAATAAATAAAATCAGAAATGAAAGAGAAGAAATTATAATGGATACTAAAGAAATACAAAAGATTATAAGTGAATACTATGGAAAGTTATATGCCAACAAACTTGATAACCTAGAAAAAATGGATAATTTTTAGATTTATACGACTCTCTAAAACTGAATCAAGAAGAAACAGAGAATCTGAATAGACTGACCACAAGCAAAGAAATTGAAACAGTAATCAAAAACCTCCTAAAAAGCAAAAGTCCAGGACCAGATTTTTTTGGGGGGAATTCTATCAAACATTCAAACAAGATTTAATTCCTCTCCTTCTCAGATTATTCTGAAAAATCGAACAGGATAGCAGCCTTCCCAACTCATTTTATGAGGCCAGCATCACCCTGATACCAAAACCAGACAAGGACAACACAAAGAAGGAAAATTACAAGCCAACATCGCTGATGAGCATAGATAACAAAAATCCTCAACAAAATATTAACAAATTAAAACAGCAATACATTAAAAGGATCATAGATCATGATCAAGTGGGATTTATTCCAAGGATGCAGGGATGGTTCCATATCTGCAAATCAATCAGTGTGATACACCACATTAACAAAATGAGGAATAAAAATCACATGATCATCTCAATAGATGCAGAGAAGGCATGTGACAAGATCCAACACTCATATATGATAAAAACTCTCAATAAAATGAGTATAGAATAATACTCAACATAATAAAGGCCATATATGACAAACCCACAGCCAACGCCATATTTAATGGTGAAAAACTGAAAGCCATTCCTCTGAGAACGGGAATAAGACACAGGTGCCCACTCTCACCACTCTTATTCAACAGAGTACTGGAGGTTGTGGTCAGAACAATTAGGCAAGAAAAAGAAATAAAATGATCCAAATTGGAAACGGAGATGTAAAACTCTCACTGTTTGTGGATGACATGATTCTCTACATAGAAAACCCTAAAGAATCCACCAGAAAACTATTAGAAATAATCAACTACAGCAGTTTCAGGGTAGAAAATCAACACACAATAATCAGTTGCATTTCTGAACACTAATAATGAACTAGCAGAAAGAGAAGTCAAGAATACAGTCCCATTTACAATTGCAACAAAAAGAATAAAATACCTAGGAATAAATTAAATCAAGGAGGTGAAAGACCTATATACACTGAAAACTATAAGACATTATTGAAAGAAACTGAAGACATAAAGAAATGGGAAGATGTTCCATGCTGATGGATTGGAAGAACAAAATAGGTAAAATGTTCATAGTACTTAAAGCAATCTATAGATTTGGTGCAATCCCAATCAGAATGCCAGTGACATTCTTCACCACAAGAGAACAAAGAATCCTAAAATTTATGTGGAACAACAAAAGACCCCTAATATCCAAAGCAATCCTGAGAAAGAAGAACAAACCTGGTATCACACTCCCTGATTTCAAAATATACTACAAAGCTATAGTAATCAAAACAGCATTGTATTGGCAGAAAAACAGACAGATCAATGGAACAGAACTGAGAGCCCAGAAATAACACTACATATCTATGGACAGCTACTCTTTGACAAAGGAGCCAAGAACACACAATGGAGAAAGGAAAGTCTCTTCAATAAATGGCGTTGGAAAAACTGGATAGCCACATGCAAAAGAATGCAAATAGACCATAACCTTATACCATACACAAAAATTAACTCAAACTGCATTAAAGACTTGAATGTAAGACCTGAAACCACAAAACTCCTAGAAGAAAATCTAGGCAGTACATTCTTTGACATTGGTCTTAGTAGTATCTTTTTGAATACCATGTCTCCTTGGACAAGGGAAACTAAAGAAACAATAAACAAATGGGACTACATCAAACTAAAAGCTTCTGCAAGGCAAAGGAAACCACCGACAAAATGAAAAACAACTCACCAAATGGGAGAAAATATTTGCAAATCATTTATCTGACAAGGGGTTAATCTCCAAAATATATAAAGAACTCACAGAACTCAACAACATATATACTACAAAGCTATAGTATTTGAGTATATTGGAGTCTTCTCTTTGTTTCCCAACATAAGTTCTATCTTTAAGAATGTTCCATGAGCAGTTGAGAAGAATGTGTATTCTGCTGTTTTTGGATAGAATGTTCTATATATATCTACTAGGTCCATCTGGTCTGGTGTTTCATTTAAGGTCACTGTTTCCTTGTTGACTTTCTGTCTGCATGATCTACCAACTGATGTAAGAGGAGTGTTAAGGTCCCCTACTATTACTGTGTTGCTGTCAATTTCTCCCTTTGGTTAAGAGTTGCTTTATATACTTTGGTGCTCCTGTGTTAGGTGTGTTTATGTAAGTGTGTGTGTGTGTATATATATATATTTTTTAAAAAATTTTTTTCTGGTGAGGAAGATTGGCCTTGAGCTAACATCTATTGCTAATCTTCCTCTTTTTTTCTCCCCAAAGCCCCACCCAGTATATAGCTGCACATCCTAGTTGTTAAGTCATTCTAGTTCTATATGGGATGCTGCCACAGCATGGCCTGATGAGTGGTGCTAGGTCCACACCCAGGATCTGAACCAGCAAACCTTTGGCCACTGAAGTGGAGCATGCATGATTAACCACTCAGCCATGGGGCTAGCCCTCTAGGTGCATACATATTAGTTAGCATTATGTCTTCTTGGTGGAATATCCCTTTTATCATTATATAATGCCCATCTCTGTTATCTTTTTTATCTTGAAGCCTGCTTTGTCTGATATAAGTATTGCTTTCTTTTGGTTGCTATTTGCTTGGAGTATTGTCTTTCATTCCTTCACTCTGAGCCTCTGTGTCTTTGCAGCTGAGATGTGTTTGCTGGAGACAGCCTATTGTTGGGTCTTGTTTTTTAATCCATCCCGCCACTCTGTGTCTTTTGATTGGTGAATTCAACCCATTTACATGTAGAGTCATTACTGATGTACGAGGGCTTATTACTGCTATTTTATCTTTTTTTTTTCTTTTTCCAGCTCCCTATTTTCATTGTTTCTTTTTCCTTGTATTTCTGTCTGCCATTTCAGTTTGGTGGTTTTCTCAGTTTTCTCTTTATGATTTGTGACTCTGCTCTAACTTTTTGCTTTAAGGTACCACGAGGCTTGTATAAAAGATCTCACAGATGAGATAGTCTATTTTCTGACAGCCTCTTATCTCCATTAGCCATTGCAGGTTCCATCCCTTTCCTCTTCCCTTTCCATGTTTTTGTTTTCACAAGATATTCTTTTTTGTTGTGAATCTGTGACCAAATTGAAGTGATGATAGTTATTTTTGATGCTTTCTTTCCTTTTATCCTTTATGTTATAATTAAGTCTTTGCTAACCCCTTCTGATAGAGAGCTGCAATTTTCTGATTTTGTCTACTTATTTCCTTGCTCAAATTTTTAAACCTTTGCCTTTTTGTTTTAGGAAGGGGGGCTCCCTTCAACATATCTTGTAGGGCAGGTTTAGTGGGAATGAACTCCCTCAGATTTTGTTTGTCTGGGAAAGCTTTTATTTCTCTGTCATATCTGAAGGATAATTTCACTGGATAGAGTATTATTGACTGATAGATTTTGTCTTTCAGTAATTTGAATATACAGTTACATTCTCTCCTAGCCTGTAAGGTTTCTGCTGAGAAATCTGCCGAAAGCCTGACGGGGGTTCCTTTGTAAGTTACTTTCTTCTCTCCTGCTGCCCTTAATATTTTTTATTTTTCAAGACTTTTGACAGTTTTATTATTATATG